AATGCAACCTTGTCCTTTTGTAACAGTGTAACCTACATGCCAGTGAAAGATCCAGAACCCCAATTTAAAATAAAAAGAGAAAGCAATTTAAAGACTATACAAGCAAATTCTCAGCAAAGGTAAAAACATTACTAGGTGCTGTACTAAAAGTTAAGATACATTTTAGACAGGGACCCAAACTCCTTGACTAACGCTATTTTCAAGATCCTTTAGTCTTCCATTTGACTTGTCACATTTCAACACACCCTCCCCCACATACCCTCAAAAAATTAAAAATGAAAACTGACATTTGGAGACAACTCATTAGACAGGAATAACTTACTTGGTCTACTGCCTTTTAACATTTCAACTACATAAAAACTGAATTCAAGGTCTTTATTCTAGGCAATAGGTTTATTTTGCCACTAGGCAGCAGCGCTGTATTAAGTTTGCTTCAACAAGGCAACAAAGCAAGATCAAGTCACCAGATCAAATAGAAATGCCCCTAGTTATGTGAGAACATATATTGTTATGAGTAGAGTGCAAATCACAAACTCAATTTTTTTTCTCATAATTTGTATTTCAAAATGGCTCTTTTGGAGCAAAGAATTCTATTAGTGTGCATAATAAATAGTGTGGAGAGGGATCTCTTTCATAAATTCAAAAGGATGATTATTCTATTATTTAGATTTTGCACTATAGATGTGAGCAAGTTATGAACAGCTTTACTTCCTGTATTTATCATCAGCTGAGCTTCCACATACTTATGTTTATAAAGACACCATTGTAAATCATACACACGTAATGAATATTTAAAATGTCAGAAAGTGAAGCTTTTTTTTTTTTTTTTTTAAACTAACACTTTTCACATCTTGAAGGTACTCATTTTATTTTTTTCAAGTCACTAGTTTGCCTCAGTCAACATTCTTCACACTGTTGGTTCCCATGCCCCCACCCCACAAGTCAAAATTTTGTTCTTTCCTGAAATCTTACCTTTATAATTTGTGACTGGTTTTCAAGGGTGTTGAAGCTTTGACTGATGCTAGTGGAAACTGCAGGTGCTCAACCCCTCTGAAAAAAATCAGTTTCTATTTTTTCAGGGGTGCTGCACATTTTTAACTCATTTACTCTTGTAACTGACATTAAAAAGCAATTTTGCATTTTCTGTATAGTGTAGTTAATTACAAGAATAACTCTGCTACAATAGAGAACAGGCACCCTCTAACCCTACGATTTGTTTCCTTTGGCAGACACAAAAAAGTGTTAAGGTAGAGGCAGGTCTCAGTTAGGACCTGGTCTCTATAAAAAGATTTCCCCCTCTGAGGTGTCCACTAGCTGTATCCAGGGCACGACAGAAGGTATGGAAATCTGGCAAGCAGGTGTGCAAACCTACCTGAATGTTTTTTTCACAGTCTGTTTGCTGGTGAAGGGACAGTTCACTTTCTAGAACAAATTTCTTCCCACATTTGTCGCAGATCTGCATGCGCCTGTGAGTGACGTTCATGTGCTTCTCCAGGTACCAGCGTGTGTTAAACACCCTGGGGCACTTCTCACAGGTCAAAGTCTCCTTTTCTTCACACTTTGATTTCTGCACAGGTGCCTTGGGCTCCTTTGCAGCTTTCTTCTTACGTTTGGGGGGCTCCACACTCTTTCTACGGCCCCTTGTAGTTCTGGGCGATAGGGAAGTTGTGGCTGCTGCAGCAGAAGCAGCTCTCCTTGTTCTCCTTTGTGCAACACTAACTTTCTCCACTCTTTTCTCTTTTTTCTTCTGCCTCTCATTTTCCTCATCATCATTACTGTCTTCAGTAGCCTCTTCCCCACTGTCACCCTCCTCTTCCTCACTGCTGGTCTTAAGAACAGCAGTCTCTTTGGATTGGGAGGGGACACCCTTCTCCCCTTTTGATACATTTAATGTTTGGTTGTTAAGGTTTACCTCTACTATAATCTGCTCCCTTTTGTAAGTCACTTCATCTTCTTCCTCCTCTTCCTCCTCAGAGTCGTCAGAGTTTTCTCTATCTTCTTTCACAGCCCGGACCTCTCCTACTGATCTGTTCTCCCTGAAATATGGCTGTTCCTCTCTTTCATGGAGATGCGGTTTACTCATTTTGGTATCCACCAACACAGAGTAAGGACTTCCTGACTCCCTTTTGTATACTTTGGTGGACAGATCAAGTTCCTGGCTGGCACCATGATAAAAAGTGGGTGGCACCTGACTGCGATGGCTATCCTCTTGCGCCATTCCTGCTACATGCACGGCACAGTTTTCAACCAGCTGTTGGCAGGAATTGGTTGTTTGACTCATTGGGAGGGCTCCGATTCATTGAGCACCTTTGATCCTAGAAAACCAAATAAGCAGCTTTAAAACAGGATGGGCTTTCAGCAATGAGGCCTGTTCCACCTACACAGAATGGCCAAAGTATGATTCTTTCCTGGTGTTTAGCACTGAAGCATAGGTCATGGAATTCTGGTGTTATGGCAAGATCAGAGCAGTAGTAATTATTCTTCTGAAGAAAGTCGTCAATGAACCTCCAGACATTTTATCTGCAAAGAGCAGAAAAAAATTAAATCAGCATTTTAAAGATGATTGAGGACATTTATCCCCAAATTACTAGTTTACTTCCAAACTAGAAATTTAGGCAGAATTCAGGATCTGCAATACAAGTTCTTTATTACTGGGCTTAGTGATCTACTCATATTGACAGTTAAAAAGAAAATCTTAATCTGATTACTGGCTCGTGCAGATCTCAAGTGACCCCAAAGAATATCAAAGACAGGTGAGAGACTACATAGACCCAAAGATGTAAAGCTAGGACACAATCAGAACTATAGCTTAAATAGGAATATCTGGATGAAAAGCAATGTGAAGTGAACAGATTACGTGCTGCTTTTGTTTATAATGTCTAGTGGCATCCCTTCTAAGGCCCCAAAATACATATTTCTTTACCTTTTCTTTCTTTTTTTTTTTTACATTATAAACTGGAGTTATTTACTTCTTTTCCTAAAAGCCAATGCATAAATAGGGTACTATTAAGATTATGGCTCATGTTGCACATTTAAGCTCAATGAATTTAAAAGCGAAGTGAATTTTATAGCAAGAGCTTTGTTATAGATTCAGTACCTACTTAAGGGCTTAGAAGTCTTGGAATAACCCTCAAACTACACCCACATGAATTTTCCAGCAATATTTAGTCAGGCAGGGGGACTTAATATTTCTGTTAATTCAAAGTTTGCAGTAATTTAACAAACCCATTTTTCCTTCATCAATTAGGAGGTAATTTTACAGGATTACAAAGAATTACAACAACAAAATTAAAAAAAAAAAAAAACTTAATGTGAAAAATGCTGTGCACGTGCTAGTCTATAAAACACTGACAGACAGCAAGAAAATGTCTATGGAGCGATTTAGGGTGCTGTTACAGGTTATCTTTAAAGTATTTTCAAATATGTTGAACGTTATATGCTGTCAAAGTCAGAACCGTTTCAGAGCAGTCACAGGTTAAGTCTTAATGACATCTCAGACCTGCATAACTGTGACTTGCGGCTAGGCGGATGGATAGGAACCAGGAATCTATTGCTGTGGGGGGGGAAGGAGGACAGGGGGAATCTGCCAGGGAGGCATCTAGCTCAGAGATGGAGAAGAGGGCTGTGAAAGGAGTAGGGAGACTCAGCAAGAAAAAATGCTTTTTCTCTGGTTGATTCAGGGCTGATTAAAGGTGCCCTAAAGAATGAAATCCTGAATTTATCCACACAGTAGGTATACTATAGACAGACACAGGGCAAACCTCCACCCATGTGCCTCAGCTGTGGCCTGGAAGGAATGAAAGAAGTCTCTATGCCATCCTTGATATTTTTCACATGATAAAAGGGACTAACTAAACAGGCAAGGAAAAGTGTCATTTAAGCTCATGTTCTGATCTGTCAGTCAGGAGAGTCAAGTTCCGGCCCCAGTTCTGCTGCTAGCTTGTCTCGTGGTGTTGGAAAGTCTCTCTGCCTATTTCCCAATGTGAGAGATGATTTTGTGCTTCCTTTGCAAAGTGCTTTGAAATAGGATGACGAGGTCCACATAAGAGCTTAGTGTGGCTTTGGCAAGTGCTTACTGTCTGTCTGGGCAGTACCCAGCCACACTCCTTCCCAGCAGCTGTTTGTCTCTCCCACTCTAGCTCCAGTGACCTGGATGCATTTAAATACCCTTGACAAGATGCTACTTGAGATGAACCTCAATAAATGTCAGCTCTTAGATTTGACTTATTTTTATACTATAGAAAAATAGAGCAATTCTTCTGTTGCAAAGAACTCAGAAAACCCCCCAACAGAGCAGAAGGTTCACTATGGATTCTTACTTGAAATCTGAGGGTTTATCTTGTGAATCATGTTTATAAACTTAAAGTGCTAATGTTATGTGACATCCTTGAAAGGATCTCAAGGCAATCCTAATTTGTCATCTCTGAACCAAGAGTGGAGCCCTTGGGTGTTAACCCCCAGCCGCTTCACTCTCAGCACCAATTGGCTGAATGGCAAGACTAGGCACCCCAGGTAAGAACTGCTCCCCAGCCTTGCTGCAATTAACATGGAGGCTCTGCTCTCCATGTGGAACTGCCAGGGTGGGCAAGACCAGGGAGCTGATGGAGGTATCTTCCCCTGGCTCCACGGTGGGTGAGACTACGGCAGCCATGGGCGGGCTGGGCTGGGAGAGTGGGCAGGGGTCAGGGGGCTTGTGGCAGAGCCCCCCACACAGTGCAGGGCAGTGGGGATCGCTCTCTGCCTGGCAGTAGCCAGTAAGTATGGGCTCCCCCCCCCCCC